AGAAGAGAGAGAAAGGGAAAGAGAGAAAGTGATAGAGAAAGAAAGGAAGAAAGAGAAAGAGAAGAGAGAGAAAGGGAAAGAGAGAAAGTGATAGAGAAAGAGAGAAAGAAAAGAGAAAGAGAAGAGAGAGAAAGGGAAAGAGAGAAAGTGATAGAGAAAGAGAGAAAGAAAAGAGAAAGAGAAGAGAGAGAAAGGGAAAGAGAGAAAGTGATAGAGAAAGAAAGGAAGAAAGAGAAAGAGAAGAGAGAGAAAGGGAAAGAGAGAAAGTGATAGAGAAAGAGAGAAAGAAAAGAGAAAGAGAAGAGAGAGAAAGGGAAAGAGAGAAAGTGATAGAGAAAGAGAGAAAGAAAAGAGAAAGAGAAGAGAGAGAAAGGGAAAGAGAGAAAGTGATAGAGAAAGAAAAGAGAAAGAGAAAAGAGAGAGAGAAAAGGAAAGGGAAAGAGAGAAAGTGATAGAGAAGAGAGAAAGAAAAGAGAAAGAGAAGAGAGAGAAGGGGAAAGAGAGAAAGTGATAGAGAAAGAAAAGAGAAAGAGAAAAGAGAGAGAGAAAAGGAAAGGGAAAGGGAGAAAGTGATAGAGAAGAGAGAAAGAAAAGAGAAAGAGAGGAGAGAGAAAGGGAAAGAGAGAAAGAAAAGAGAAAGAGAGAAGAGAGAGAAAGGGAAAGAGAGAAAGTGATAGAGAAAGAAAAGAGAAAGGAGAAAGAAAAAGAGAGAAAAGGAAAGGGAAAGAGAGAAAGTGATAGAGAAGAGAGAAAGAAAAGAGGAAGAGAGGAGAGAGAAAGGGAAAGAGAGAAATTGATAGAGAAAGAGAGAAAGAAAAGAGAAAGAGAGGAGAGAGAGAAAGGGAAAGAGAGAAAGTGATAGAGAAAGAAAAGAGAAAGAAAATTGAAAGAAAAAGAATGGGAAAGAAAGTAATAAGAGAAAGGTAGAAAGAAGAAAGAGAAAGAAAGAGAGAAAATTCCCCAGGTGAATCCCAGGGGAAAAACACACCTGACCATTTGAAAAACAAGCATTTATTATCATCCGGGGACTCCCGTTACCTTTTCTGCAGGTTTTCCACGCGGGAGGGGAAAACGTGGCGATCCTCCGAGGATCCCAGACGATCCACTTCGGGAAAGGCGTCAAAAAAGCCTCCGGAGCGAGCTGTGATGGCCGAGTGGTTAAGGCGTTGGACTTGAAATCCAATGGGGGCTCCCCGCGCAGGTTCGAATCCTGCTCACAGCGCGTCCCTTTTGCAACGCTCCGTCAGTGCGACCAGGCGCTTCTCTCTCCTCGCTGTTTCGACCGTTTGGAAGTGCTCCAGTCTTACGACCGACCTTTCGATAAGGAGGAGCGGAAAAATCCATCTTTCCCCCTTTCAAGTGCTTTGAAGCTGAACATAAACCAAGTTTTGGAAGCCTGGAAAGTTTGAATGCAACTTTCAGAATTCCCCTGCCAGCAACAGGGTTTACCCCTCTTAAAACTCTCAAGCTTTAAAAAAAAACAAGATATAAACAGAAGGGACCCCGAAAGATAATTTAAAAGTAGTTTTTTAAAAGTCTTTGCAGACTAAAAGGCTCAGTGCATTGCAAAAAATAAAAAATAAATAAAAATGCAAGAGTTGGAACCAACTTTGGAAAAGTTCAACAAAGCAACCAAATTCGCTGAAAAAAAAAAGGATTCAAAACAGGAGACAAGAACAAAACTCCGCACTGGCGACGGGAAGGGCATCCGGCCATTAAAACACTCTGCTAGCTCTCTGGGTGATATAACTCTGCATTCTCAATATTACTGAGAATATATCTGCCAAACAAAACTCCGCACTGGCGACGGGAAGGGCACCCGGCCATTAAAACACTCTGCTAGCTCTCTGGGTGATATAACTCTGCATTCTCAATATTACTGAGAATATATCAGCCAAACAAAACTCCGCACTGGCGACGGGAAGGGCACCCAGCCATTAAACCACTCTGCTAGCTCTCTGCGGTTCTGGGTCAGCTGAACCCAGAAAATGGATGTTTTTTACCGTTTGCTGTAACTTCGAAGTTTGGGATTTGTGCAATATGGGCTTTTGTGTTTCCAAATGTGAACAAAATCCCTGTTGTGGCTGATGGGCTTTCGTCCTGTGTTGGATTTTGGGGTGAGGGGAGGGGGCTGCTTTCGTTCTAACCCCATCACTCTGCTTTTTGTTAGCTGTCAAACTTGGCGGCCAAGCAGTTTGGAAATCTCCCGCCTTCCACGGATTTCTGATTTGCTTTGCTTATGGATGGAGCCATCTAGATAGTTGGTTTCCTCTGAATAAGCTATTTTTTTCCTGGCATCTGCTGTGGGCTATTAAGAAAGATTTGGAGGTTGCTTTCTGCCTCTAAAAACACGTTCCTCCATTTCTCCGTTAAGGGAAATATAATATCATGCCTTTTTTTTTTAAAAAAAAAGAATATTTCTCAAAATATTCCATTCTTCTCTAAGTTAAAAGAGATTGATTTGATTTGATTGATTGAATCAAATCAAATCAAATCAATCAATCAAATCAAATCAAAAGAGAAATCTTGGTTAATATGGGGAAGAGGTGTGTGGGGGGGGTCGCCAGTCCCAAATATCTCGAGGCTTTCTGAGCGTTAAATATTTTAAATGAAATATTTTAGGGAATATATATATATTTTAAAAGGCAGAAATTGCATTGCATTTCCCCTCTGCCGCCAGGAGGGGTCGCTGCCTCATCTCCATCTTTGCAACCGCTGCTCGGCGGGGGGAAAAAAGGCACCCCCCCCCCACGGGATTTTTTCTTCCTTATAAAAAAATATCAGATTCAGACGTACCGAAATATAATTTTTATATATATATATATTCCTAATATTTCTTTAAAATGTTTTATAAAAGACTTGTGGAGATGCCGGGGATTGAACCCGGGGCCTCATACATGCGAAGCATGCGCTCTACCACTGAGCTACATCCCCACGCCTGGCCTCCCATCCGCTTGCAGTGCTATTGATGTCCAATGGCGTTTTTTTGCATGGACGCTTTCTTTTGCAAAGCGATGCAAAACGACAGAGCTCCTGAGCATGCACAGAGCGCTTTTTTTTTTTTGCACCGGGCCGGGAAGCAAAGGTTGAGCACGTGCAAAGGGCGGAACGCAAATTAATCCCTTTATTTATTTTATATATATTTTTTAAAGGGTGTGGTTTCCCCCCCCCCACCCCAGGTTCTGTTTTTTTTTTGCACCGTCGCTGCTGCGGGCGCCACGTTGCAAAAGCGGAGCTCGGTCTTTTTTTCAAATAATACTAAAAAAAAAATGCACGGGGAAAAGTTGGATTATGCTTANTCTTTCATCTATCCTTTCTATCATTATCTACCCTTTCCATCCATCCATTCCCCCATCGACCGTTTCTATCATCTATCATCCATCCATCTATTTCTATCTCTACGTGATTTTTATCCCACTTTTATTACTTTAGGTGTCCATTTGCCCTGGGCCAACTTGCCACGGGATACCTCACTCTGGGACAAGAGTTACACTAATATCAAAGAAATGGTCGAATAGAATCGTTTTAAAAAAGGACGCAAAAGGAGGGACAGGATGAAATGCAAAGGGCAAAAATGACAATATTTTTGCCTTTATTTTATAGAACGACGTAGAATTGTTAAATTGATGGGCGTGCGAGCTGTCCCATTTGACTCCTCAAAGACTCTATTTTTATTTTGGGATGAAACATCCTAAAACCAGACCGAGAGCAAAGGGGAAATATTTGGAAAAAGGTCCCAGGAATTGAAACTAGGAAGAAGAGACTCACCCTGGACCAGAAGATGGTGATGACAATGACCAGGTGAGCTGTGAGGACCAGGAATCGAGCGGGAACCAATCCGCTGACCAACGGCATCTTCTCCCACCCTGCAAAAGACCGAGACAATCCTCACAGCCGAGGAAAAAACATCTTGACCCAGAAGGCAGAATAACAAGAGGGGAAGGGGCTTCGGAGATCTTCTAGTCCAGCCCCCTGCTCAAGCAGGAGACCCACTGCCATTTCAGACCAATGTTGTCCAATCTCTTCTCCAAAACCTTCAGCGTTGGAGCACCCACCACTTGTGTTCCACGGATTAATTGTTCCTACGATCAAGAAATTCATCCTTAACTCCCGGTATCTTCTCTCTTTGATTAGTTTCCAACCATTGTTTCTTGTTCTGCCTTCAGAGGCTTTGGAGAATAATTTCACCCGCTTCTTCTTTGGGGCAGCCCCTCAAACATTAGAAGACTGTTATTATGTCACCCCTGGACCTTTTCTTCATTGACCAAGTCCGGCAGCCATTCATCATGTTGTTGTTGTTAGTTGCAAAGTGGTGTCCGACCCATNATAAAGAGGGAGAAAGAGACATAAAGAAAGATGGAAGGAAAGAGAAAGAGTTTTATCCTCCAGCCTCCTAATCATCTTCCTTGCTCTTCTCTGCTCTCTTTCCAGAGTCTTAACATCATTTTTTTTGTATAAAGTTTTTTTATTATTATTATTTTTATCCATCTCATTTCAGGAATAGTTTGTTTCCTGGGTGTCATACAGCTCAATACCAATAAACATCACAGTATTATTATTCCTAGTAATTACATTTCATTTTCATTTTTAGCTTTACTATCACTTCCATTGCCACTATCATCCTTCCGTTCTAAACCTTCTCATAGTTCTACCATACAATATTTTGCCCTGCAAATCTGAAATTGCAAACTTTCAGTGAAAGTCTGGTGGCAAGGAGTTCCCCTGGTGAATTGTCCTCCTTTGTTCTAAGTTGCTTCTCTCCTTCATTAGTTTCCATCCGTTGCTTCTTGTTCCTGCTTTCTGGGGCTTTGGGAGAATAAATTGACGCCCTCTTCTTTGGGGCAGCCCCTCAAATATTGGAACATTGCTATCATGTCGTCCCCCCGCCCCCCCAGTCCTTCTTTTCTCTCGAATGGCCAAACTCAAATCCTCCAATTGTTCTTGGTATGCTTTAATCTCTGGGCCTCTTAATTGCTCTTCTCTGCCCTTTTCCCAAAGTCTACAACATTTCCCCAGAGCTCCATCTTGTCCTGCACAACAATGCATCAACCTTTCCCTCTTCCCCACTCACCCATATAAGAGATTAACAGAGTTGGAAGGGACCTTAGAGGTCATCTAGTCCAACCCCCCCTGCTCAAGCAGGAGACCCTACACCATTTCTGACTGATGGCAGGTCAGTCTCGTCTTGAAAGCCTCCAGGGATGAAGCTCCCACAACTTCTGAATAACAGAATAATAACAGAGCTGGAAGGGACCTCGGAGGTCATCTAGTCCAACCCCCTTGCTCAAGCAGGAGACCCTACACCATTTCTGACAACAGGCCAGGCCAGGCCAGTCTCCTCTTGAAAGCTTCCAGGGATGAAGCTCCCACAACTTCTGAATAACAGAATAATAACAGAGCTGGAAGGGACCTGGGAGGTCATCCAGTCCAACCCCCTGCCCAAGCAGGAGATCCTTACAGAATAATGGAGTTGGAAGGGACCTGGGAGGTCATCCAGTCCAACCCCTGCCCAAGCAGGAGACCCCACACCCTTTCTGACAACAGGGCAATCCAGTCTCCTCTTGAAAGCCTCCAGGGACGAAGCTCCCACAACGTCTGAATAACAGAATAATAACAGAGCTGGAAGGGACCTGGGAGGTCATCCAGTCCAACCCC